AAAATAATGGGGTCCCACATATATCAGAAAGACCAATTCTGTTTTATCTTTCTTGTTGCCTCTCTATGAGCAGGAAGCCTGTCACAGTTTAGTTAACAAGATTAATGTACTTGCCAGCACATGTAGGGCAGCCACACATCTATTTTTATTTGTACTAACTGTGCTAATCCATAGTGGGATGTAATGACAGCAACAAATATTCATGGAAGACGATTTTGATATGAACTGTGGGTATTAACAACCACCAGTCACAATAGACCACATACACCTAAAATGGAAACTCATTCATTCAAAGGAAAGTTGAATACTCAATAGGTAACAATATTACTGGCTGCCTTTGGTAAAAGCAAACAATAACAAGAGTGTATTAAATGCAAAAGACCATAGTGGTTTTACAGACACAAGCTGCATTCAGTGGGACATTGCCCTAGTGGGAGCTTCCAAAGGCAGTGTGCTTAAAGCAGACACAGTACCTCTCAGAGCACTGGGAAGAGCAGCTTCTCCTCCCCCCTTTGAAATAGGGTAGTATATACCCTCTCCTAAGTAGGATCTGCTCCACTGATTAATGGAGGACATGGAGGAGAGCATCCTCATGTCTGTTCCACTCCCCAAGTCCTCCACTATTTTTGGAATGTCTACCATGCCAGTGGCACAAGGCGAGATTCTTTGCACTCCTTTGGCATGTGTACTGGGATCATGCTCAGTCCTTGCATGCAAGTGCAGTTTTCTTGTGTTCACTCATCACCCTGGTGCACCTCTGTAGGACCAAACATAATCTTGCCGAGGTAACTCAGTGGTGAGGGCACCTTAAACAAACACAATGAATTCTCTGCCCCGCTTCAAAGTTTTAAGACTAAGACAAAAACTTTGGAAAATGGTTGCCTAAAGTTAGATACCCATACATGGGCACCTAAATTGGTTGCCTAACTTTAGGCACCCATGTTTGAAACTCTGGCCTATGCTTTTTTAGGATTATGTCAATCAGGTATATGAACAAAACTTCAATTCTGCTTATATCAGCATCATAACTAAAACATTTCAGTAGCAAGATTTAATGCCACCTTCTAAGCTGACCTAAGATTCTGGGCCATCACAGAAATAAGCTTTTGCTTTTGTTTTCTAGCATTAACTATTGTATTTGAAAGAGCTTCTAAAATTAGGTATTGGTCCCTCCTGAGTATAAAATTGTTTCTATGTCTAATAATTAGAAGAATAATGAGGATTATTTGAAGGGTAGCTGTTTTAAACAATCAAACCACAACTCAGTGGAATTGCTTTTTCCCCCCTTCTCCATTTTTCTTGTACAATGAATATCAGCTAGCCACCCAGATTCTACTTTGCAAGCTGCAAAAGCTTCTTCTGTGCAGAGATGGGAGGGAAGGGGGCAAGGGTTATGCCTCTGTTCTCTAGGGGACCTGTCATGCAGGGTGGGCGAGAGTTTGCCAT